TGTAAGATCAAACCATTTGTCTTATTTTCTCGGATCAGTGCGACGTTTAACTTCTTAGGAAGAAAGATAAGAAGTTAGCAATATCCTTTAACTTTACGTTCCGCTATATAGATGATGTTCTCTCACTAAATAATACAAAATTTGGTGACTATGTTGAACGAATCTATCCCATCGAACTAGAGATAAAGGATACTACAGATACAGTTATGTCTGCCTCATATCTTGACTTACATCTAGAAATTGACAATGAGGGTCGGTTGAAAACAAAACTTTACGACAAAAGAGATGATTTCAGCTTCCCAATTGTGAACTTTCCATTTCTATGTAGCAACATTCCAGCAGCGCCTGCATACGGAGTATATATCTCCTAATTGATACGATATTCCCGGGCTTGTATTTCCTATCATGATTTCCTTGATAGAGGATTGCTGCTCACAAGGAAGCTATTAAACCAAGAGTTCCAAATGGAAAAGTTGAAATCATCCCTTCGTAAATTTTACGGACGCAATCACGAGTTGGTTGACCGTTATGGAATAACCATTTCACAGATGATATCGGATATGTTCCTTATGTCGTAACTACAATACCCTTCCATTTTTACGAATGTGACCTACCGAACTAGACTATTTACCGGATTTGTAATAACATAAGCAACACGACGGGTGCCACATGTGGAACAGGATCTGCTTACACTTCCGGAGCACCTGAGATCACCCCCAGTTTTTGGTGGGGTTCGTGTTGCTTAGTCTTTAGTTTTCTGTACTATTATTTGTCTGTTTGTCTTTTTATTTTTGGCCATGGCGTTGTCAGTTTGTTTTCGATATATGAGTTTGACTGTCCCTCTGGTATCTTTCGTCCCTCTTTTATAATATCAATATACTATTATGCGTCTATATTCCAAACACGTCTAGAGGTGTTGTGTTGTAAAAATTACATTTTTGTCAGACAGGAAAAATTTACTCTATGGCGCATGAATGTCTTGAGTGAACACAACAGAAAGCGTGCACTTTTCTGATAATTAGGACTAAAATATATAATAAGGTGAGGCACCATGCAGTTTCATAATTATAATACTACATTGTCAACAAATAGTTTTACCTCCTGCCTATATCAAATCAAATCGAGGCTAAGATCGGTACCAGGAACAAAATTAAATTGAACATTGTGTTTCGCCTTTATTCTTGTGTGGTGTTTACCCTTAATACAGTTTTTCTACGTTAACAGAAAACAGTTGAAGATATATACTATGATATATACTATGATATATACTATGGTATAAATCCATACTTGAAAATACCACGAACAGGCTAAAGTTTTAATCTTCTTTGTTTATGGTCTCCTTTTGGTACGCTTTAATTACCTGGCCTAAACTCAGTACTCGTGAGTACGCAATTTGTGATAGAAACACAAGTCTCGGTCTGAGTAACTTTTGATGGCAACGTCGGAGGTCATAACTACATAAATAAACACAAAAATATCAAAGGAAATTATTCAAAATTTGTCTCAAATAAAAACACGTTAGACCGATGTATAGTTTACTAGATAGAATTATTGAACGAAACCGATTTAAAACATGGACTTTATATCTTATAATGGATTGGGTTAAATTTTTGCTCGTTTTAATTAAATTTGTTCTAGTTTAGAAAATTTGACTTTCAAAAGAAATGTAGCCGTCGAATCCTAAAACTTGACATGTGTTATTGACACTTGCACATTACGTATGACAATACTTACGTTGACCTCTATAGATGTATAATAAACTATCTCTTTGGGGTTGCTGTCCCATTGGGGTATACACAATACTATTTATTCATTCCGAGAACACGTTAGTTGACCCGTTACGGAATATCTATTTCACAGATGACTACGGAAATATTCCAATTGTCGTAACCACAATCCCATCCTCTTTTCCTCTGAATTGTGGCACCAAAGAATTAAATTTATTACACAGAGTTTGTACATGACGGTTGTCAAATGTGGAGCATGATCTGCTTACCTTTCCAGGAAAACCTAAGATTACCACCCGGTTTTCGGTGGGGTTCGTGTTGCTCCGTCACTATTTTTCTATGTTGTGTTTTGTATACTGTTGTTTGTCTTTTGATCGTTTTCCGTTTGTTGCCATGGCGCTGTCAGTTTGTCATCGACATAACTGAAATTGTTTGAATATCCCTTTAGTATCTTCCGCCTCTCTTTTAATCATTGAGTACGGATTGGAAGTTAGTTTTCCTCATGACCAGCTTTAAACAACCAAAAGTCTTTTCGACCGAAATATTTCACTTTAAATAATTAATCTTTTCCTCATTTACCGGCGTTCTATCTTTCTAGCTAGCTCTTTGTTCTGGCGCCTTGTCATCCGCTATATATATACTTCCTTGCTTCTTTACCAGACTAAACATCAGACCGCCGTTAAAACTTATAGTCTTCCTTATTAATATAATAGCAAATTATCATTCATTAGAATAAATATATATGTGATCTTATTTTATAATATTGATATTTTTTACCTATTTTGCTTTTAGTTTTATTCATATTATTATAGTTTATGTCATGTGACGTTATCTTTGAGAGGGTTGTGTGATCACCTTGATGTAAATGTACCAATAATGTCATGAACTATACGTGCTACAACCATTGCATATTTGACTGTCTAGCAGCCGTAGCTTGAAGCACATACAGCTAGGACCATTGCGACACTAAAATAAATAATACAATTGGTGTTGCGCAATGGTTATGAGAATAAAATACAAAAATAATGACTGGTAAACAGCACAACTTTTAATTTCCAATTATCAGTTCAAAAAGGCGAGAAAAAAAATCTTGAAAATAATGTTACAATGCAAGATGCGCAACTCCATTTGTTTTGGCTAAAGACGATTCAGTTTCTGACTTTATAGTAGACAATAATATAAGATATATAGATTCCACCACTGCAACAAGTGTGTTACGATATTTCTCCACTCCAGACAGTTTAATTTTCAAATTTAAAACGCGAGGCTTGCCGAGATTTTTAAATCATATGGCAAAATTTGGGGTAATTTGCTAATTTGCATAGCGGCCATTTTGCCTTATCATGACGGCAGCCATTACAATAGGATTATATAAGCCCTTTTAATAAAAATGCCAATATGCAAATACTTATGTCGAATTTTTGGTGAATTGTACATGTTTTTAGGCTTCTGTCCGTGTACAAATGGACATTGTCTACTCTGAAATCTTTCGGCCTTTTTAGTTTAAAAATCGGAAGCGTAACCATTGTGTAATTGCTATATAAGATCAAATAAAATGACGTAAAATCGTAAAATAGCAAGATTCAAAACAGAAATACACATGCAAGAAGATATTGTTCATGATTTGTTCGCATATAGGGAAACACCTTGTAGGTTGAATTTTAAAGTTAAATAACTTTTAACTTACCTGCTTTCTTAAGTTTTCGGCCAAATTCTTTTAAAAACATGATGATTTCAACCTTCCCATTTCGTAAAAAGTCAAATTTTAAGCATTTTCCCTTAGAATTACACAGCATTTTTGTAAATATCCGCCAAAGGAAGTTTTTAAAGATACATTAGTTTTAGATACATGACGGAAAAGGACTGGATTATCCGCAAATCTATAATAAATTATATTTTCAATCTTAAGCTAAGGGAAGTAATTTGATCAAAAGGGACAAAGTCACGTGGTGCAAATGATTTAAATAAAGTACCTTTGATTTTGCCATATGTATTTTAAATTTAACTGTTGAAAGTGGAGAAACACGTAATACACGAGATATAGTGGTGGAATCTGTTTTTCTAGCGATTTTTAGACAATATCCAAACAAAGTTTATCCTTCCTTTTCAAAGATTTGCAGAAAGTTGTGTTCTCTATATCTGACGTCATCAGGCATGGTCGCCATTTTTCATGACGTCACAATAGGAACTCAGTTTAGAAGAAATCAAGAAAATTTGACGTCATAATTAAATTTCGACCAATCATTTGTCGAGAACAAAGTTTTTTCTAGAGATGAGAAATATTTTTCTCACACCGATCGAGAAATGTGAAAATAGCATGAAAATTAGAGAAACAAATTTCTCTCTTAAATATTTTGCTGAATTACAGACAGACACAGTAATTCCTATAGACGTCGATTTTAGGGATAGTAAAAAATCGCTCGTTCGACTATATAACAGTCGTTAGTTGCGTTCGAATCAAAACGATTGGAAGGACAAACCAATAACTACTACTAGGGGGTGTTTAACTACCGTGACTACCCATGATGGTCTCGCACGGTCGGTTATAGGGATAGAAAACTGTATACCTAGTTTTTCGAATAATTCTACTGAACATTTTATGAACAGTGAATTTACAGAAGCTTACTTCACTAATATAATGTAAGCAAAATCTTTAACTACTGGGCTTGCGATACCCTCGGAGATGAAATGTCATCCAGCATTGACTTCAACCATGTAGTTTTAAAAACTTATCAAAGACACCAGACTAAGTTTATAAATTAAGCGCTCCAAGCTTTCGTTTTTACTTCATATATGAAACTTATCAGTGGCGCTGGAATACATAAAGATCAAGTCAATAACAAAGTTGAAGCACATTTATATACAAAAATACATAAACTCGTTAGAAAGCATTTGCCTGGGGATAGAAAACTTTATAAAATTGCACATCTCAGCATTTTATGCGATCATTAAGCTGTAATTATTCATTATTGCATTACAACCGTTCTATAGAATATCTATATATATATTCTATCATTCATACATGTAAATGGATAAAATTACGTCTTTATTATCTAGACAATACAAAAATATTTTATCAGTTGAGAACCGTGTTGAAATCAACAGCACGCACAAATGACGCTATTGTTCTTAAGATTTAGCATTCATAAAGATTTTAAATCTTTTCATCGGACTCTATTCATTCCATTGACATGGATGTTTATAAAATAACTGATACACTCAGCAATGTTATAGTTGTATCGAGACAAAGTTTAACTAAATGCATGGAAGTTTTACCAGTAGTTAAATTTCGTATTCTGAGACCTTCTACATGTGCATATGTATATAAAAAAAACGGACTATAAATTTTGTTATGTTGTGTACGATGAGGAACTTTACTAAGCTTGATCAATATATATAATATAATTCATTTCTGCATATCCGTTTTAAGAAATTGTTCAGGTGAATACTCTATTTGGCCTCATAAAACCGTCGTCAAATCATTACCGATGCCAGCACAACTTAATGAGCGGAGTTTTAGCGCAAGACTTAATTCTGATTTGTCTTATTGCAGAATTACCGGGATTGAGGTTTTGGATGATGGGAGAGTACTGATCTGTGACAACCATAACAACAAAGTAAAATTGTTCCGATATGACGGAACTTTTTTGTCGAGTTTCTTCGTGGAAGGTTTCCCTCTTGATTTGCGAATGATAGGTCCGCATTCATTTGTTGTAACAAATGACATTGGCAATAAACTAGTTGTGTTAAATATAGTCGGAGATGTCATTATGCATGGAAGGAATATTCTAATCAAACCAAATGCGGTTGGAGTTTGTTTTATGGACGGATACATCTACCTGACATATCCTTGGGGTAATCCGCCGGAAGTGGTCAAAATGGATACAGACGGTGAAATCATTCAAACAATTAAGCAAAATGCTAAAAGAAAACCTATATTTTCCGAACGTCCTGTCAGTATTTGTGCATTTAGTGGACTGATCTATGTAAGCTGTATGTCAATTGATGGCAAAAAAGACAAAATATATAAATTTTCAAAAGAAGGCAATATTCTTGCAATTCACGAACATCCTCAGCTTCAAGAAGCCAGATATTTAAGCAAAGACATGTTTGGAAATATCTATGTTTGCGGAATGATTAATTCCAATATAATTCGTTTTGACAGATCCGGACAGAAAAGTCGCGTAGTTATGTCCCAGGGTGACGGCCTAAGGGATCCATGTTCAATCGGTATTTTAGATCAAACTCTATTCATCGCGCAGGATGGGCTGGATATTATTAAAGTTTTAACAATGGAAAGTTTTAGTGAAACTAATGATGTTGGAAAGCTAGATAGAAAACGTGTATCTTTTTCTTAACAATAAAAAAAATAAGAAATCTTGTTAATATGTAGTTCGTACTCTATCACTGCCATTGTATCGTGTCACTATGATAACGTGCTCTATCACTGACATTGTATCGTGTCACTGTGATAACGTGCTCTATCACTGACATTATATCGTGTCACTGTTATAACGTGCTCTATCACTGACATTGTATCGTGTCACAGTGACAAACCGATCTCACTCTTTTGGAGTCCATGTGATTCCCAGGTTTTTCTTATTTTTTATCTTGATTTGTATATTTTTAATGGATTATGAGATTTAAACAACGGATTCCTACTGATATTTCTTATATATCCAGGGGAATCGGGGAAACCCCCTCGGATAAAGTATATAACCTAAATTTATTAACGGCTATTTTAGAAAGGTTTGTTATAAATCATGTCAGTACCGAAATACTGACTACTGGAAGATTCTATTAACTTTTTGTCACCACTAAGGCACTAGTGGTTTAAGGAGACCACTCTTTAAACCTGTCATGTTCACCAATGCGTGTTAAGCATTAGTAATAAATAGAATTAAAATAATCTGTGTTAATTGGAAGTTTAGAATTTATTGACGACAATTGGTGGACACAAACGTATTTGTGATTTTTAAGAATTAAGTCCCTTTTACTGCTCCAGTGATCTTCTCAGTTGAGTTTGTTTTCCTCTCCTTTTTTCAAAGGGTGTTTGTTTTGTTTTGTTGTCCTGTGTTGTTGCACTGTATTGATGCTATGTTTTCTATGTTGCTTATATATTTTGTTTTTTCATTGATGACGTGGTATAATGTCAACATTGAAACCAAATTTAGATCTGTATTATGTAAATCAATCTTTTTTCAAGATTTCCCGTCTTTGCAATATTTCTTTCTTAATATCCATTATTTTAAGCTATTATATATTATTTTAATCAACATTATGTCAAAATACATGTTTATTTTAAAAATATATATACGATTTCACGTGTCTCTTTTGATTCTAAGCGTTCGCATTTAATGCAAGATTATCAAGTTCTTTCTCCACCTGTTCAACATAAGCAGGGAAACTTGGATCAGACAAACATAGCTTCAGTAAGACACCAATGTCAGTTGTGTCTGTAGGCATACTGTTATACACAGCTGGTAACTGGTTCTTACTGGTTCTGGTGACAACCTTATCAATGAAAACAAAAATATAAAGGTTATGTGGATACTAAATACTGTAGAAACATTAATTTTCGTGGGGTTAAAATTTCGTGGTTTTGTCTCTATATAAAATTTTATGGGGATTTAATTTCGTGGTTTCCATTAAATGGAAGTGATATTATATGTAGGTTAAATTTTCGTGGGGGTTTTAATTTCGTGGATATATTCTTTCCACGAAATAAACGAAATTAAATCCTCCATGAAAATTTCTGCTTTTACAGTATTCAAATGATAAAATGTGCTTAAATGAAGGGTAAAATGCATTATTTCGCAGGACTATATAAATTATGTAATTACATGCATGATTTACATTTATATATAAATGTATACGACATATGACTGTTGTACTGCCTGATGGTTTTCTCGATTGAATCGTTATACATTTTGTTATGTTGGGGCCTTTTTTAGCTTGACTCGTATGCGGTATGAGTTTTGCTTATTTTTGAAGGCCGTGTAGTGACCTATATATATAGTTGCTGACATCTACATTTGTACAGTACTTGGTTTCTGGTGGATATTTATCTCTTTTGCAATCATACGCCACAACTCCTAATTTTATATAAACAATAATAAACAATAATTTGTTTTAGCTTACACTTCAGTGGTTGTTATACAAAAACACACTGTGTGTCACTCAGCTGTTAAAAGATATCAAAATATAATCTTTTTTTTTCTTTCTTTTTTACCTTCATGGATAGACTAATGTTTAATGAACAGTGGCAAATATTACATGTGTATTGTGAAAATCAGAATATGATATATAGAGCGATTGAATAAGAATCCAACTTTGCAATTTATACCACACAAAGCCAAATGTTGAACGTGCCAGTTCACAAGGTACATATGACAGTCCGCCTGAAAAGATGTCGGGTCAACAAATGGATCGAACCCACGATCTGTTGTGCTTGAAAAGAGCACGCTATATATCATAAATAAAAGGAAATGTGGGGTATTCCTCAATGAGACAGATACCCAACGAGATAACAACAAAACGACATCAAGACAAAACAACAGTCTTCAACAACAAAGAGGTGTCCATACAATTTGCAAGCGCAAAAGTTTTTAACGTATTAAACAAATTTCTTCAGAACAGAAACAATGATTTGTCTCCCTTTAAACTCCAATTCTCTGCATGGGGTTTGGCTCTTTCAATATTTTTCAGGAGATCTCAGTATATATTATACTTACATTTGCTAAATCTGAAAGCGTTACCTCTCCGTGTAGTATGGTTTTATCTGATGCATTTTCATGGTTCACAGTCTGAAATAGAAATTTAAAAAATGAGATTCAACATAAGGGTGTCAACATGACAGCAACCATTGCAGGGTGTATTACATTTATAAACGTAATTGATAAACCCATCAAAGGCCATTAACCCTGAACGGCAGAGGTAAAAAACGTCCAAGCCAATGTTGACCTCCTTTTTGTCACCAGTAACATTATATTAGAACCTGAAAAGGATTTAATCCAGCTTTCTTACTGTTATCGCACGGAATAGACTTAAATTTTTGCCATTTTCCAATCAATCAAGGGCCATTATTCAAAAATAGCAAAAGTTAACTTAAGTCAATATTGAATGTGACTTCAATTTTGTTATCAGAAACATAATTTTAAAATTTGGAAAAAAGTAAAATAACAAAAATACCGAACTCCAAGGATTTCAAAACGGAAAGACCCTAAATGGCCTAATCAAATGGCAAAATCAAAAGATCAAACACATCAAACGAATGGAAAACAACTGTCATATTCCTGACTTGGGTACAGGCATTTCCTTGTGTAGAAAATGGTGGATTAAACCTGGTTTTATAGAATGTTTTATAACCATTATATATATGAAAATTTTAAACATTGTATGAATGGTTTTCAAGTAAAATAAATATTGCCGCAGGCGGTTGAGTGTCTACATGATTTCGATAATATTTTTGTTCATTGTTTGCACTAAATATTCAATTTACTATTTTTTCAATTTGCTTGTCTTACCATTGTTTTTGGATGAATTTATCCATTCTGATAAAATCTCTTATTTAACTATCTATACTTAACTAAAGAGTTGTTTGTATAAACTTTTCGAATAATGACTGATTAACACCCAGTGGCAAATATAACAGACATATTCAGCACAATTACGTGTTAATCCCATATGATAATATCCTGTTTTGTAGAAGACCGAATTGCTTCGACAACCTTTTTTACTTGACCTTTCCATGACTTGAACTCATGGCATGCACAATGCCGCTATATCAACGAGGCGGTTATAAATTTTGAAAGTTTTACTCCCTTTTGTTAAGTAAAACCTGTGGCTGTGGAAAATGTCAGAAATGTTTATAAATGTCATATTCTGTGCTAAAACGGCGGTTGTCAAGTTCAATTCATTGAATAATGTAAAACTTTAATACCTCCCAAAACACTTTAAAAGAACTTACTTTAAAAGTCAAAGAGAAATAACTCTTTATTATTTCTGTGTATTATCATGGATAAATAAAGTTCTCTAACAACAACGTTATTGAAAAAAAACCATCTTAGTGTAAAGAAAACAAATTTTACATGTTCACAAATTATGACTCAATCATTAAAACAATGGGATGATCTAAAACTTAGAACTTGTCGCTTTTTATAGACAGTGTTCTTAGCCTTTTTTCAACATGAACTGAACTATAATTGTCCGCATCGTGTAAATTTTATATCCGTGTGTCTCTTTTTTTCACTTCCCATCTTAATTTAACTAATGATTTAAGAATGGACAGAAAAAAAAAAGCAACACAAATAAGTGTTTACGATCTTACCTCCGTCGTTACTATAGCTTTGACAGGAAAATAGTTAGCCATTTTCTCTGCACATTCCCTGCATACATCATGGCTGGTCTTTATTTCTGAAACTGCAAACTTTATCCGAAATCTATGGCTCACATCCTAATTATTCATTTTCATATATAAAATCAATTTAAAGTAAAATTATTAAAATAACAAGAATACAGAAAACAGATCACATTTTAGGTTTGAAGAACACACAATTTATTTGTTCTTTTCCAAGTTGTGTAAAAATTATTTTATTTAAAACTTTATTGTTGTTTTTGGTATAAAACCCTTTTGTTTGGGTGTGATGAAGGTATGTTGCCTAATGAATATGCATGTAATGGTATAAAATATTACTTTAAATTTTGCATTTTTATATTTCCAAAATTAATATCAAATTTCTAAATGTCACAAAAAATAGTTTTGCGACCAGCAAATAAAATACGAAGCGTACTCGCATTAATTAGTGTGAAAAAACAATGCAGATTCAAATGCGTTTTTCAAATAATGCAAGCACAATTTTTTTCTTGCACCCTAAGACAATGCCATTGACTTGACACAATAACAAATAAATAATTTGTCGTTATATAAACTTACTAAAAGGTAACAACAATAATGTGGAACTGAGCAGCCATGTAGTGGGCAACGTAAGTTTGTTTTAAAACAAAATGTCCGTTTTCGAATTGTGCTGTATTTTAAAACCGTTAGCACTAATAAGCAATTGAAATTGCCTATAATCCTCAATAACTGAATCGTATTCAGAGGTAACACGAATCATAATGGAATCTAACCAAATCAACCGTGCAAGTGTACCACGGAAGAAAAATTTACTAGAGTCCCATTTTCGTTTGTAAAATAGGAAATTTCATTTTTTTCAGATGTGTCTGCACTTACTTGTTATACGTATTCATAAAATTCAAATCATAATAAACAATATGGCAATACGTCTTGTCATAGGGGTTATTACCTGCATATGATAAAATATAATCATACTGTCGCCTTTACTTTGTCCTCTCAGGTATTTCTGTGACATTGTCAGATTGTAAGACTCCTGCAAATTAATGTATTAAAACGATCAAAGTTAATGACATCCTTCATAATTTTAATTCGTATATTTAAATCAGGTGTTTGTGCCTGGTTAATTTGTATGGTTAATAAACAATTCTTTGTCTTATGTCATGCTTTTGAAAGTCGTATCATTAATCATTGTAAATTAAACAACTAAAGACATTATGATGCCGTATTCCTATATATACAATGTAACACCTTCATTTACTAGGATTTTGTTCTTTTTTAAAGGTCATAGTGCTTCAAAGTTTGACCATCTAGAATTTCATATACGTATGTCCATTTCAGTTCTTTTTTTCTTATTGGAATACCATGAATACGTTAAAAGCTCTTTTACTTTAGATTTTAATTGCCTGGCATGCTTAGCTAGCTATAGCTGAGTATTCGTCGACCAAAACCAGAGAGCACCTGCCTGTTAACACACTTTTTTTACTATTAAAGGTCTACAGATTTCCTAAAATATTTGACACATATTACATATAGATTAATTTTGCTTAAACATATATCTGAAACATTTCAAAAAGCAGCATTAAACTCCCTTCTCTTCTAACCTCTTACAAGTAAACTTACCATAATAGTTGAACCATGACTTACAAGAAGATGACCTCTGTCTGCCAGTGTCAGTTCTAGTGGAAACGTGGTATTATCAAAATACTAAAATGTAAACATTAAAATATGAATCAAAGGATGTGTGGGGTAAACGAAAACTAGACGACAACCAAACAACTTATTCCATCACATATACATATAATGTATTCATCTTACGGTCATCTAGACTAAGGGTTTGAATGTTTTCAAAGTTAGTTTTGGTTTCCTTTATTCCGAGCTATAACGTATAGCCTATCTACTTGGTGTTAAATATCTGAAACTATGACCTCTATCTATTAATTTTTTTCATAGCTCATATGTTTCACATATAATTATGTATTTTTATTTTTCTTTCTGGCATACATAATTGTACGTTTTGAGTTTCACTGGAAAGGTTTATCATGAAAAAGCTCTTCGCACTCTTGCTTCTATTCGTATCTATGATTATAAAATTATATTCTTATGTATGTATTATTGTCAAAATTATTGTGTGTCTCTAAATTAGAAAAACAATCTGTAATAAATTACCTTGCTTTTCATGGCGGCCATTAAATTTGAATAAAAAATATCTTATCTTATTTTGTAAAAGACAAGCGAAAGCAATCAAAAGGATATTCAAACTCATAAGTTGACAGCAAACTGACAATGCCATGGAAAAAAACGACCGAAAAGAAACAAACAACAGTACACTGAATTTTCCTTGGAGTTCGGTATTTTTGTTGTTTTACTTTTTACACAAAACACAACATGGAAAACTAAAGACTGAAGAACACGAACCCCATTAAAAACCGGTTTAAGAAGTGTTATGTCTTATCTTATTTGAAGTTTAATGATACTAATATATAAAATCTATCCTTGTACAAAAGTTATCATTCTATCATAACTAATCATAACTACAGGTGTTGCGTTAAACCGTAGTTAAACAAAGTCACCTTGGTGTTAAACTGCTGGCAATCAACCAGTGCGGCATTAAACCATCGTCAATTAATCAAAAATAACTCTGTTTTCCCGTTCATTAATTCATAAAAAAACATTGTATCGCCATGTAAGCACAAACTTCCTTTTTTTCTTGAAAATGAAAAAAAAATCGATAATGAACTGTTTGCTAACGCTTATTTTAGTGGCTTCTACCAGAGGCCCTAGAAAGAACCCTTATAGATAGGGTAATGTCGAATTAACAGAATCTATAAATGTGTCATTATAGCAAAAGATTCAAGGTCTGTATGTTATGTTCTTCTCGTATATTTTATGATTGTATGATACTAAACCCATAACGGGAAGGATTGTGCTTGATTTTCATATGATGATGACATAATCTTTCAATCAGTTTATATGAGGTCTGGAGCTGGCATGTCAGTAACTACTAGTAGTCATTTGTTCATTTCTGTTGATCAATGTTATTTTGCTTAGTTACTTCTGTTACCTATTCTAACATCAGACTCGGACTTCTTTTAAACTGAATTTTACTGTGGGTATTGCTGTGTGTTTGTTTATTCTGCATTGGCTAGAGGTATACAGGAATGTGGGATCTCACAAAACATGTTTAACCCAGCCGCATTTTTGAGCCTGTCCCAAGTAAGGAACCTCTGGCCTTTGTTAGTCTTGTAAGGTTTTTCTAAATTTTGGTTCATTTATACATTGTTTCGGAGTTTAGTGTGACATCCATTGTCTCTGATAAACCAGTATACATTTTTGTTTAGGGGCCAGCTAAAGCCCGCCTCCGGGGCGGGATTTTCTTGCTGTGTTGAAGACCCATTGGTGGCCTTGGGCTGTTTTCTGCTCTTTGGTCGAGTTGTTGTCTCTTTGACAATGATTCCCCGTTTCCATTCTCAATTTTATACATATATATATATAAGTCTAAACAAGTGACAACTCTATGACAGATCCATCCATTGGATCACCAGTGAAGGTGATACACGGCTTAAAACACATATTATATTTATGTATATATATTAAAATAGAAAAGATGACTTTCATTAACCATTTGTTTTAAAATAACAAACATTCAATTAACTGAACTTGCAATGAGGCAACATATTTAGAACATGCACATAATAGAAAATACAGCAATATGCATGGTTGTGCTCCAGTTGTGACGTCATGTAAACCCAAAACGAAATCCATGTAGAACTTTTTAAAACATTTGTACACCATATCCGGATTTCGACAATAAATGTCTCTTCAGTGATGTTAGGAATCGAAACGGTAATTGGAAGGCCATATAATTTACCTCAATTTGGGATTGACTCTTGAATTTTGAAGAGTCAAAATAGGATGAACGGATCATATAAACCCGAAGGCAAATATAATACAAGCCCAAACAAAAAAATATAAACAAGTCTAAATTGAAAACAACGTTCAAACCTATGATTGCGTTGGATAAAAACCGCAATTTTTATACGTGTGCATGCAAAACAAATTTCTTGGTAGAGTGGTCTAAATACAGCACAAACAACATTTTCCAAAAGACCAAAAAAGTGAAAAAGTATATTTTAACAAAACGCATTTGACTAGCAGGCCGAACAACGGATGTTCTTAAACCCTGCTGACTGCCATGGCGATTGCCAAATAAAAAGATCACCAGATGTAAAAATGGATCTTAATTTATTAATAATATACCAAACAGAAAACAATAAACATGCGGAAAAGATGGTATACCGCAGATATAAGGTGCAAAAATGTGTACACCATATCCGGATTTCGACAATAAATGTCTCTTCAGTGATGTTAGGAATCGAAACGGTATTTGGAAGGCCATATAATTTACCTCAATTTGGGATTGACTCTTGAATTTTGAAGAGTCAAAATATGATGAACGGATCATATAAACCCGAAGGCAAATATAATACAAGCCCAAACAAAATATATATATATATATATACACAGGACATGCTGAGCTGTTGTTTAATCTTTAATTATGAATTTGACGGTCATTTGTACAGAATTGCAAAAACTTTAATTTCAAAATTTAATGAAAATACTACAATTTCTTGTTTGCCAGAATGTTCATGCCACATTTTTTATATTGATATCTTGCATTGTTGACAAATAAACCTAACATCATCTGTGTCAATACTTGCCGAAAAATTCTATTTTTGGAGATATAACAATTTTGCCACAATCACTACATCAATTGCAGTTGTTTCAATATTAAACAGTTTTGCGATGAACACATTCAATACAGTGCCTTCTCTATTACGCGGTTAGTATTTACTTTAATTACTAGTATTATAATAGTAAGAACAGTGTTCACTGTGTTAAAATTCATTTTATTTAATTTTTTCAAACAAATATAAAAACATGTTCAGATTGCAAGAATTCAAGGTAAGAATATTTTCTGAGAGGTTTGGGTGGTGGAAAATGAATATTATGACCTGGAAATGAATATTCTGCAACTAAAAATGTAACCACTTTTAGGAAATAACTATGCTAACAGTTGAAATGAACATATTCCGTACATGCTATCTACGAACACAAATACTTTATTAAATCAATCATATAGTGATTATAAACGAGCGGCTGGATGTGGTTTACAGAATAGAGAATTATGGCCAAATAGAAAAATGAATAGAGCAAAATAAGCAAAAGAAAAAATAAAGAATATGATAGCGAAAAGGTGCCAAAGTATAAAGAATAATTGTGGAAAATAAAATAATTAGATAATAAAATACTGATTACAGAAATGATCTTATTACAGAAATTGTATTTGTAAAATAATTTTCTTGAGAAATTCAAGAATAAGCATTACATAATTAAAGATTTAGAAAAATGCCTTAAAAATTTAAAGAATATAGAAATTAAAGACCTTATCCTTACCCTCATAAATACATAAGTAAAGAAACTTTCAGATTTCTTGTCAATGCTATCTGAGTCTACTATAACACAGTAGTCTCAGATGCTATTAATAGTATAAAGTTAACTATAGCAGTAGTTTTCTTGTTGTAATTAAGTAATAAAACAAGTCAAAGCCACAGTCACGTGATCACAGAGTTGCTTATAGCCTCATGTTCACATGAAAGAAGTCAAATATATCTTTTTTTGTTTGTATCCCAGTATGGATCATCTATGATTGGTCCAAGATCACTATAGTGTCTCCATGTTTTATTATAATTTGGAGTATTCAATGTTAATTCTTTTTTTGTCTCCGGTCAAGTTTTTTTTCAATATTTTATGAAGCTTTTGTATACAGTACTTAGCTATACAATTATACGATCAGGTCCTTTAATTGACCCCAGACCATGCTGCTATTCAGACGATGTGAGATATATATATGCCAATGACAACAACCCATCAACAAATACAAACAAAAAAAAACACAAAGAAGGACATCTAGAGGGCATTATAAGGTCTTAAAGGATGTATCGAAACCTAACATTACTGATGAAGTGCCTTTACTGGCCACTTGTTGCAAACTGAGGTCGGGCGGCACATATTGCCACATGTGGAGCAGGATATGCTTACCATTCCAGAGCATCCGATATCACCCCGGTTTTACACGGGGGGGGGTCTCTTCCTATATGAAGGTATATACATATGTGCCGCTGGAATGGGTCCCTTTTTTGATACATCAGATATATCAATGGGGTGCAATTTTACCGAGGAAATATATCAATAGATAGTAATTGACCAATTGTGATATATTTAGGTACTATTTGAGCTGATAAATATATGAATGGGTTATGATTTCGCTGTGAAATATATGTATAGGTAGGGATTTCACAATTATTCAATATATGAATGGGGGTGTTTTTTTAAATCCCAGCTGCTCAACTGTACCCAAAATCCAATGTTGAGACTCAGACCCCCCCCCCCCCCCCCCCCCCCGTGGGTTTTAGTGCATGCTGCTCGGTTTTCAGTTTTCTGTGATGTGTTTTGTATACTGTCTTTTGGTCGTGTTTCGTTTATTGCCATGCGTTTGTCAGTTTGTTTCAAGTTCGATTTATATGGGTTTGCCTCTCCCACGGGGGGGGGGGGGTCTCTTCCTATATGAAGGTATATACATATGTGCCGCTGGAATGGGTCCCTTTTTTGATACGTCAGATATATCAATGGGGGTGCAATTTTACCGAGGAAATATATCAATAGGTAGTAACTGACCAATTGTGATATATTTAGGTACTATTTGAGCTGATAAAATATATGAATGGGTTATGATTTCGCTGTGAAATATATGTATAGGTAGGGATTTCACAATTATTCAATATATGAATGGGGGGTGTTTTTTAAATCCCAGCTGCACAACTGTACCCAAAATCCAATGCTGAAACCCCCCGTGGCCTCTCCTCCATCTGAGACTACTGTAATGAAAATAAGTTCGCTATAAAAAATAAATTTCCAGCTAGTTTGGTGAAGAGGAACCCTGCAAATCAACCGTTTAAGTAAGTATCTCTATATATGTATTACCCAGGTAGTATCAGTGTCAACGTATATATTTGTTCCGCCTAACAGAAGTTTCCCTGGAAACTTTGTTATAAACAATGGCATAATATCTGTTCCTGTTGGAACAAGTATTGATCAATATTCTATACCCTTTATAGTTTCCATGTTAATCAGCAAACTTAGGTAACGAAAAGCATACCTCCCATTCAGCTTTCTCGTCCTTGGCAACTATGTGAGATGAATCCGACTGTACAAATCGTGCATATTTGTTTAACTTCCACATGTTTTTCACCTGTACTTTGAAAGTTCCCGCCTGGTGAAGTTTTAAAAGTCCGTAATTTAGTTTTCCGGTGTTGTTTCTTAAATTATAATCAAAATGGAAGGACGACGATCAAGAAATCGAAAATAAGAATAATATCATTATTTTAAACAGATTTATACAGATTATTAACACAATGACAGACATGGAGGTAAAACAGAAATGTGTTCGTAAAAGAAAAATATATTTGTATATTATTTATTCCTTTCATTATCAAATACGTTTTTGTTTCATTTTTGGAATCCCGGAGACCCTCCTTTACTTATACTAGTTTACCATGTTAATGGAATGAAGGCTAGGGGAAGACAATGTAATTGGAGAATCTTGGTCACCAAGTTAACTTTATCATTATGGTACTAGCTAAGTATACAATATTGTAAACTACTGTTTTATTCATACTATAAACATGATAAACAATCAGGTGCTGCCTGACGAAATCATTTCCTGTCAATCCTGATGTTGACACATATGACCTATGACATTTCTTTTGTACAATTGTACATGCACAAGTAGATATAATGTGTAATTAAACTTTATTCTGACAACTGGTAACCTGGGAACTTTGGTCGTTGCAAACAAAATCTCTTTTAATTTTTCTGCCATGTCGAAGTTGAAAACTCTGTACTGCTATTATTCCTTATGTCTACATGAATATACAAATACATATGTACTCTGTTAGGTTTCATGTTATCTGGTCCAAGTCGTTCCGTCTACAGTTGTACCTAGACAAGTTGATCCGGCCCATATTTAAAGTTGATTACGCTCCTTTATCAGTCAAGGGTATAACCATTATAACTCTATAGGGTTATTAGAGAAAAATAGCATACATTTGTTTTTGTGAACTAAAAAATCCAAAAACTGTGATAGCATATGCTCATGATGCTGTGTTAGCAGTAGTAAAAAAATGTCAATAGCCAAAGTGGCTAATAAAGTTCTATTTTTTTGCTTAGCCACATTTTCATGTGATTAGCCACAACTTGTGTGTCACCGGTGAGGATCACGAAGTGATCCGAACCTGCTAGGGGGGTTTGGGGGCATACCTCCCATTGAAAATTTTGGAAAATTAGATGTGAAATCCTGCATTCTGAGGTTACATTTTTGTAACTGGAAGTGTATATAAAATGTTGTTTTTTTTCTCCAGGTCAGATGTCCGTTTTACTTTTCTTTGTTGAGTCTGTCAGATTTTTAAAGAACGATGACAATGTCCCTTGAAGTTTTCGTTTTCTTGTTTCGTTCTTGCCAAGGACCTTTACAAGGTGTGGTTTGTCGGCCATGTTAAAAACATTAAAAAGTAAAAGAAAACCCGATATCTGAAACGGATTTTCCCGTCCGGAACCGTTAAGTGTGGAAGTTTTTTTTTTCCGGATATGACTAAAAAGACCCGTTTTTGTGTTTGTTTTTGCAAATTACTTTTGTTAACATCAGCTAAATGTTTGTTCGAATCAACCCTACTGGCTTGAAATTTGACAAAGATTTTTTTCCGTTCATATAAATTTTCGTTCGCCAAAGTGGCGATTGCAACTGAATTTTTATTAGCCACATAATAAAATCATTCGCCCATGGCGAGTGTGGCGACCTTTACCGCTAACACAGATATGTCAGACCTGCCAATTATCCCAAATTTGGCAGTATCATCCAGATTTTCATGCCTCAACAGAATCCCGATATCTGAATCGTAAAACAAGTCAAAATCCTGATTTTCACAAAATCTGTCTGAAAAAATTATTGGTTACCGATTCTGAAGTTTTTATGATCAATTTCTATAAATCTATAATTTTACCTGGCGACTTATTCATGAAAAGTTTACGACCCCAAGCTAATCAACAATCATAACAGGTGTCATAATTTGTTATTACAGGTAATCTGTCTATCTGATTGGTCATAACAATCCTCAAAATTAATTAATTTGTAAATAGAATTGGTCAGTCGGCAGTTCAATTTTAATCAATTTATCATACGATCACAATTTGCAACGTTAACCGTAGTTTCATGATATAATCGTAATTAACTGAAAGACGAAAACTATAATGAATTCATTAGAAAACATCGTTTATCTTGAAATCCGTTAAATTTTTAAAATCAGACATATTTCTGTCCAGTTCTGACTTAAAATAGACCTCATATTGTATTCACTTCTACTGTGTATAAGTCTCCGCCGATAGGAGCACCTCTGAGCACAAAGAAAGATAACTCAAATTTTATCTATTTTCTCATAAATACTGATAGACTATATATATACATGTATATAGCTAACTCAAGATCTGTTTTCATCCTTTTAACTTTACGACATTACTCTTTTGAGTCGTGGTGCAAAAGAAGAAGGTCTTTGGAGGGGGAAAAAAGACGGGGGTCTTCTCTTTGTATCTTTTATTTTTTTAGGCCATTTTTCTCCATTAAGTTATTTTGACAATTAATAAATACAAGAATCATGCAAATAAAAGAAATCAAGACTTATTAGGATTGACTGTCCCTCTGGTATCTTTCATCCCTCTTTTATTAGCTCATCATCAGTATACCAAAAGAAAAAAGAAAAGATATTAGACTATTTTAGAGTAAAAAACAGTGCACACAGAAACAAGCATGTTAGAAGCATCTCCATGCTATTAATCAAACTTGTTATGGAAACAGACCCAGAACGACTGATGAACTAATTTAGATTAAGATAATAATAATAATAATTCAATGGAAAAAATCAAAATAAATCAAAAATGAAAAATATTTAATATACATGTATTTACATAACAAATTAAAAACACAATAAATAAAATACAAATATAAAAATTGGTGTTACGGGCAACATGCTTATAACTGATATGTATTTAAAAAAATAAATAAAATACATATCTCAATAAACAGTCAGGGGTGCTACTTAAACAAGTGATTTCATCATCACTTATTTCAGTGATTTGATAAATTCAGTTATCACCTATTTAAGTGATTTTAGTGTTTTCTTTGATCTTCAAATGCTAATTTCATTGATTTTCCATATTTTCACAATCTTTTCTATAATTTTCCTACATAAATCAATTATCCCGAAGGGCCCCATGTGAGCTTATGCCATCACTTGGCGTCCTTCGTCTGTCGTCGTAAACTATTTCAAAAATCTTCTCCTCTGAAACTACTGGGCCAAATACCTTCAAACTTTAACTAAATGTTCCTTAGGGTATCTACATTTGTAGTTTATAAATTGTATCCGAAGTTTTGATCCATCGACAAACATGGCCGCCATGGCTAAAAATAGAACATAGGGGTCAAATGCAGTTTTTGGCTTATATCTCAAAAACTAAAGCTTTAAGAGCAAATGTGACCTGGGGTAAAATTGTTCAATTGGTCAAGATCTATCAGCTCTGAAATTTTCAGAAGAATCGAACAACCCATTGTTGGGTTGCTGCCACTGAATAGGTAGTTTTAACAAAATTTTGCAGTTTTTTGTTATTATTTTGAATATTATTATAGATATATATAAACTGTAAGCAGCAATAATGTTCAGCAAAGTAAGATCTACAAAAAAGTTAATATGACCATAATTGTCAATTGACCCCTTAAGGAGTTATTGCCCTTTAAAGACAATTTTACACAATTTGTTCATCAAGTTTGCTAACATTTAAAAATCTTCTCCTCTGAAACTAATGGGCCAATTACCTTCAAACTTCAACTAAATGTTCCTTAGGGTATCTTGTTTATAAATTGTATCCCAAGTTTGTATCCATCGACAAACATGGCCGCCATGGCTAAAAATAGAACATAAGGGTCAAATGCAGTTTTTGGCTTATATCCCAAAAACTAAATCTTTTAGAGAAAATGTGACATGGGGTAAAATTGTTTAATTGGTCAAGATCTATCCTTAAGGAGTTATTGCCCTTTAAAGACAATTTTACACAATTTGTTCATCAAGTTTGCCAACATTTAAAAATCTTCTCCTCTGAAATACAGGTCAGCGATTCAGGCTCTTGAGAGCCTCTTGTCTTTGTATATTAATTTCACCAGTGGGCTTGGGCAGTAAGTTAGTGCGCTAAAGCTTTTAAAAGTACCCTTGGGAATTTTTCTGTAATCAAAAATTCATTAACTACTCTTACTACATGTACTTTCAGACAAAGATCAACAATATTAGGTAACCTGATTGGTGTTTTTTCAAGAGTTAGAATGATCTACTTCAAGGTTATGACCTGATCTACAAACTATTCCAGTTTTTGCATATTTTAAAAAAACTGTAAAAGTGTCAGGCTTATCAAGCAAAAGACAATTTCTGCATATACATAGTTGTTTTTTCAATGGAATTGTTGTCTTTTTACCAATAAAAAAATCAAGCTTGTGGGAAAAATATCAAGAAAATGTTATAAACACTTATTAAAGTGATTACATTTTAACTTCTAAAATTACTTGTTTCAGTGATTTTAAAAAGTCTGTGTGAAAATTTTTAATATTTCACAGCCTCACTCGAGGGAGTGATTCTGAAATCACTTGTTTAAGTAGTACCCCTGACTGATAAAGAAATTAAATTCACATTATTCGAGCATCTATCTCTTCAACTGCAATAGAGGATAGAGTGTAGATGTATTACTGTGACTTCAAATAACTTAGACCATAAGGAGAAAGTTATGAGCCGCTTGAGTATACATCTAACAGAAACATAACTCATAGAGTATTATATGAAACCTCAAACAATGTGAACTTAATAGCAAAGAGAACCTTTAATAGAGAGTATTGACAAGAGCTCGAAGCATAATTCGAGGAACACATGTTACTTCGAAATATTATACCTCTCTACGCGTGACATGTTGAGCGCTGGCCCATCCCATGTCAAACATGGGTAACTCAAGTATATTTTATACCTACTCTAAAATTATATACCCACATGTTGAGCGCTGGCCCAGCCCATGCTTAGAGGGTATGGGCTCACTTTGCAACCTGAGACGGATAACCTCTAGTGAAAAAAAACATTTGCACACTAAAACATGTATCCAAAAGAACTGTCAAATGGACAAACAAATGATTCATTCACCCGACGAGAGGGCTGCCTAGTTACCCGTTTTATTCAGGGCTGCCTGAGAACTCAGGTAATAATTTTGTGACAAGTAAAGAATGGGTAACATCCATTATTACATTGCCCTCATAGCATGTTGCCAAAGCACAAACCACAATCTTGGAGGT